CCTGTGTCCCCCTTGTTCGCGTCCCACCAGTGTTGAATAGTTTATCCTTGTTTACCCGGTCGATTCCTCTGAGGATTTTGTAGGTTGTGATCATGTCTCCCCTTACTCTTCTGTCTTCCAGTGTCGAAAGGTGCATTTCCCGCAGTCTTTCCTCGTAACTCAAGCCTCTGAGTTCTGGGACTAGTCTAGTGGCATACCTTTGGACTTTTTCCAGCTTCGTCTTGTTCTTGACAAGGTACGGGCTCCATGCTGGGGCCGCATACTCAAGGATTGGTCTTACATATGTGGTGTACAAGATTCTGAATGATTCCTTACACAGGTTCCTGAACGCTGTTCTGATGTTAGCCAGCCTCGCATATGCCGCAGACGTTATTCTTTTTATGTGGGCTTCAGGAGACAGGTTTGGTGTGATATCAACTCCTAGATCTCTCTCTCTGTCCGTTTCATTAAGTACTTCATCTCCTATTCGGTTTCCTGTGTCTGGCCTCCTGTTTCCACTGCCGAGTTTCATTACTTTGCATTTACTCGGGTTGAACTTCACTCTGTCTAGGTCATCTTGTAGCCTCCTACTATCATCCTCAGTTTCAGTCCTCATAATTTTTGCATCATCGGCAAACTTTGAGAAAAACGATTCTATACCCTCTGGGAGATTATTTACATATATCAGAAACAGCATAGGTCCAAGGACTGACCCCTGCGGGACTCCACTTGTAATGTCTCGCCAATCTGAGACCTCACCTCTCACACTGATTCGTTGTCTCCTGTTGCTTAGGTACTCCTTTATCCAATGGAGTACCTTCCCTTTCACTCCAGCCTGCATCTCCAGCTTTTTCACTAGCCTCTTGTGTGGCACTGTATCAAAGGCTTTCTGACAATCCAAAAATATGCAGTCTGCCCACCCTTCTCTTTCTTGCCTGGTCGTAGAATTCAAGTAACCCTGTGAGGCAGGACCTGCCATCCCTGAACTCATGTTGATGCTGTGTTACAAAGTTCTTTCGCTCCAGATGATCCACTAGCTTTCTTCGCACAATCTTCTCCATCAGCTTGCATGGTATGTAGGTTAGGGACACTGGCCTGTAGTTCAGTGCCTCCTGTCTATCCCCTTTCTTGTATATCGGGACTACATTAGCTGCTTTCCAAATTTCTGGCAGTTCCCCTGTTGCCAATGATTTGTTATACACTATGGAGATTGGTAGGCACAGTTCTTCTGCTCCTTCCTTTAGTATCCAAGGGGAGATTCCATCTGGCCCTAGAGCCTTTATCACATCCAACTCTAGTAAACACTTCCTTACTGCCCCGCTGGTAATCTCAAACTCTTCCAGTGAATCCTGGTTAGCTATTCCCTCTCTTATCTCTGGAATTTCTCCTTGTTCTAAGGTGAAGACCTCCTGGAAGTTTTTATTCAGTTCCTCAAACACTTCCTTGTCGTTTGTAGTGAATCCTTCTTCCTCTATCCTTAATTTCATAACCTGTTCCTTTACTGTTGTTTTTCTCCTGATGTGGCTATGCAGCCATTTAGGCTGAGTCTTTGCCTTGCTTGGGATGTCATTTTCGTATTGTCTTTCTGCCTCTATTCTCATCCTGACATATTCATTCCTGGCATTCTGGTATCTTTCTCTGCTCTCCAGTGTCCTGTTATTCCTATAGTTTCTCCATGCTCTTTTACTTTGCTGCTTAGCTAGCCTACATCTCTGATTAAACCATGGGTTTCTCATTTTCATTTCACTGTTTTCCTTTTGGACTGGGACAAACTTGTTTGCTGCGTCCTTGCACTTTTGCATGATGTAGTCTATCATATCTTGGGCCGTCTTTCCCCTGAGCTCTGTTTCCTATGCTATTTCTGTTAGGAATTTTCTTATCTCCTCATAGTTTCCCTTTCGGTATGCTAACCTTTTGGTTTCGGTATCCCTCCTCGAGTTCAGTAACCTTTCTTCAATCAGGTACTCAAACACCTGTACACTGTGGTCGCTCACTGTTCGCTCACAAACACTGTGGTGTGTGTGTGTGTTTGTACTCACCTATTTGTGCCTGTAGGATCAATGACTACGGTTCTATTTCCCTATCATACCTAGTTTTAAAATTATGAATAGAATTTGCTTCCACAACCTGCTCCTTAAATGCATTCCATGTTTCCACTACTCTCACGCTGAAAGAAAACTTCCTAATATCTCTGTGACTCATCTGAGTTTCCAGCTTCTACCCATGTTCCCTCGTTCTGTTACTATTACGTGTGAACATTTCGTCTATTTCCACTCTGTCAATCCCTCTAAGTATTTTATACGTTCCTATCATATCCTCCCTCTCCCTTCTTTTTTCTAGTGTCGTAAGGCTCAGTTCCTTCAGGCGCTGTTCATACCCCATCCCTCGTAACGCCGGGACGAGTCTCGTTGCAAAAGTCTAAACCTTTTCCAGTTTCCTTATGTGTTTCTTCAGATGGGGACTCCACGATGAGGCGGCATACCCTAAGACTGGCCTCACGTAGGCAGTGTAAAGCGCCCGAAATGCTTCCTTACTTAGGTTTCTGAATGATGTTCTAACTTTTGCCAGAGTGGAGTACGCTGCTGTGGATATCCTATTTATATGTTCCTAAGGAGATAGATTAGGTGTTACGTCCAATCCCAGGTCTCTTTCTCGAGTCGTCACAGGTAGGCTGTTCCCCTTCATTGTGTACTGTCCCTTTGGTCTCCTGTCACCCAATCCCATTTCCATAACTTTGGTACACAGTTACCGGTACTTTGGTACACAAGAGTGCTGGTACACAGGAGTGCTGGTACACAAGAGTGCTGGTACACAAGAGTGCTGGTACACAGGAGTGCTGGTACACAAGAGTGCTGGTACACAGGAGTGCTGGTACACAAGAGTGCTGGTACACAGGAGTGCTGGTACACAGGAGTGCTGGTACACAAGAGTGCTGGTACACAAGAGTGCTGGTACACAAGAGTGCTGGTACACAAAAGTGCTGGTACACAAGAGTGCTGGTACACAGGAGTGCTGGTACACAAGAGTGCTGGTACACAGGAGTGCTGGTACACAAGAGTGCTGGTACACAGGAGTGCTGGTACACAGGAGTGCTGGTACACAAGAGTGCTGGTACACAAGAGTGCTGGTACACAAGAGTGCTGGTACACAAAAGTGCTGGTACACAAGAGTGCTGGTACACAGGAGTGCTGGTACACAAGAGTGCTGGTACACAGGAGTGCTGGTACACAAGAGTGCTGGTACACAGGAGTGCTGGTACACAGGAGTGCTGGTACACAAGAGTGCTGGTACACAAGAGTGCTGGTACACAAGAGTGCTGGTACACAGGAGTGCTGGTACACAAGAGTGCTGGTACACAAGAGTGCTGGTACACAAGAGTGCTGGTACACAAGAGTGCTGGTACACAGTTAGAGTGCTGGTACACAGGAGTGCTGGTACACAAGAGTGCTGGTACACAAGAGTGCTGGTACACAAGAGTGCTGGTACACAAGAGTGCTGGTACACAGTTAGAGTGCTGGTACACAGGAGTGCTGGTACACAAGAGTGCTGGTACACAGGAGTGCTGGTACACAAGAGTGCTGGTACACAAGAGTGCTGGTACACAGGAGTGCTGGTACACAAGAGTGCTGGTACACAAGAGTGCTGGTACACAAGAGTGCTGGTACACAGGAGTGCTGGTACACAAGAGTGCTGGTACACAAGAGTGCTGGTACACAAGAGTGCTGGTACACAAGAGTGCTGGTACACAAGAGTGCTGGTACACAAGAGTGCTGGTACACAGGAGTGCTGGTACACAAGAGTGCTGGTACACAAGAGTGCTGGTACACAAGAGTGCTGGTACACAAGAGTGCTGGTACACAAGAGTGCTGGTACACAAGAGTGCTGGTACACAGGAGTGCTGGTACAGGTAGTGGGTAGTGTAGAAGTAGGTCACTGTACCCTGGCATCAAAGCACATCACAACACGGCCTCGGGCGAGGAGTCTATTAGCAAAATGCCGCCTTCCATTATGCTCGGCCAATCCATTTACGGAGCTGATTTGACGTCAAAGAAGCTCTCTCTCCCCTCCCCAAACACACCCAAACAGGCAAACATTATCGGAAGTGTACTCGAGGCAGCATTTTCACAGCTTGGTGCTGTCATGTCGTGAGAGCTTGCGTGTGTGTTGTGTGTGTGTGTGTGTGTGTGTGTGTGTGTGTGTGTGTGTGTGTGTGTGTGTGTGTGTGTGTGTGTGTGTGTGTGAGTGAACAAGCTTGAATGGTCCCCAAGCCAATATGCAACAGAAAACTCCTCACCCCGGAAGGATTCGAACCCAGACAGTCCGGGCTCAGTGCACCTTGGCGTGTCCAGTACTTTACCAGCTAGGCCACACTGACTGTTCAGAGAAATTATAAGTCGTCTGACCTTTAACCCAATTCCCGACAGCACTCAGTGACCAATTTGGGCACAGATATTTCATCAAATCACTTTATCATGCTGTGGCCAAAGCATTCCTTCATTATCATTACCATTTCATTCAACCACCATCATTCTCTTACACAAATTTCGAGAAATAAATATGCACAACATACAACATCCATTTTTGAAAGTCTTAACATTTACGGGTAAAGCTTTAAGCTTGAGCGGGTAGGAGTAAAGCTTGAATAACCCCCCATCAGGACTGAATAGTCAGCAATGAAGATTAAACGATTTAAATAAAAATCCCACACGAAGAAATCCCAAAATAAACTAGTATTTTGACCCCATTTCCTTCCCTTGCTACACCACAGAGATGCAAAATCAGATCGAGAAAGCAAGGTGAAAGGGGAAAAAAAAATAACATTTTGCAAGGAGTTGTGATGGCTTTCCCGGCTCCTGTGGACGAGTAACGCAAATCAGGATGTGATACAATATGCAAGAAGCAATACCTCAGAGGGGAACAAGAGGGAAAATAGGGTTTGAAATATGTATAGAGGATGGCGGACTGGCAGCAGGGGAAAAAAAAGAGGGACTTGGGGGCATCGTCGATTTTCCCCGACGATTATGGATTCTGGACGAGGGGATACGGAGGGATCAAATCCTAGCCAAATGGATTACATCCCAGTCAATGGTATTATATCCCAGCTAGAGGGGTTACATCCTATCCAGGGGGGGGGGAGGGGTTATATCAGAGCCAAAGGGGGGTGTCACATCCTCTGGCTGCGATGTGATCCCTTTATGATCTCTAGTAATGATGTGAGCCCTCTGGTCACATCATAACCGGAGGGATCGAATCCCGCCCAGAGGGATCACATCCCCTCTGTTGAGATAAATCAACGAATATTCACTAGAGCTGAGAATGATTGGAGGAGAGACTCACAAGGGAGGAAACAATAACCCCAACCCTAAGAGCCACAGACCATGATAAATAGGACATTGACACCCTCTAGCTATGTGAGTAAATATGCACACACTCACCCTAGCCGCCCTAGCCATGTGGGAGGGGGGTGGATCATGGCACCCTAGTCATGCGAGTGGTTAGATACAACCCCTAGCTAAGTGGGTGGATAAAGGTACCCTATCTAGGTGGGTGGACTGGGACACCCTTACCATGTGAATGGGAAGGCGCTAGGATACAGGAAAGACCTTTACTGACATGTTAAACAAACCCAGGAAGTCAACCAACACTCAACCTACCTGTACTCAGCCGACCTGCACTCAACCGACCAGCATTCAACCGACCTGCATCCAACCGATCAACACTTAACCGACCAACACTCAACCGACCTGCACTCAACCGACCTGCACTCAACCAACCAGCACTCAACCGACCTGCACTCAACCCAGCAGCACTCAACCAACCAGCATTCAACCGACCACCACTCAACCCGCCAGCACTCAACCGACCTGCACTCAACCAACCAGCACTCTACCGACCTGCACTCAACCCGCCAGCACTCAACCGACCTGCACTCAACCCGCCAGCACTCAACCGACCTGCACTCAACCCGCCAGCACTCAACCGACCTGCACTCAACCCACCAGCACTCAACCGACCTGCACTCAACCAACCAGCACTCTACCGACCTGCACTCAACCCGCCAGCACTCAACCGACCTGCACTCAACCCGCCAGCACTCAACCGACCTGCACTCAACCCGCCAGCACTCAACCGACCTGCACTCAACCCACCAGCACTCAACCGACCTGCACTCAACCAACCAGCACTCTACTAGGTGTCTCTGATAAACTCACTCACAGAGTCCCTTGACAAATTCACTCACAAAGTTCCTTAATAACCACACTCACAACCTTCCCTCAAATACTCACTCACAAAGTTCCCCGATGAACACACTCACAAGGTGTCCCCAATGAACACACTCACAAGGTGTCCCCAATGAACACACTCACAAGGTGTTCCCCAATGAACACACTCACAAGGTGTCCCCGATAAACACACTCACAAGGTGTTCCCCAATGAACACACTCACAAGGTGTTCCCCGATGAACACACTCACAAGGTGTCCCCAATGAACACACTCACAAGGTGTTCCCCGATGAACACACTCACAAGGTGTCCCCAATGAACACACTCACAAGGTGTCCCCAATGAACACACTCACAAGGTGTCCCTGATATACTCACTCACAAGGTGTCCCCAATGAACACACTCACAAGGTGTCCCTGATATACTCACTCACAAGGTGTAAAACTAAGGATGAGTCAGGAAGTGCCAGTGAGAAGGAGTGGGTTAGTAAGCCCTCCACCTCCAGCTCTCTGCGGTTTATTCTCATCTCATTCTATATATATGCAAATAGAGGGATGGTGTCATCTGGTAATCCCAGAGTATTCATTAAGAATCAAACTATTTTCGGCATTGTTATATTTTTTTAATGCTTGAAAACGAATTGTATGAAAATGTATGAAATCGTTCCCTAAAATTGAGAAAGAAAACAAAGTGGGCTTGACTTGTGTGATGTATATATATATATATATATATATATATATATATATATATATATATATATATATATATATATATATATATATATATATATATATGTCGTACCTAGTAGCCAGAACGCACTTCTCAGCCTACTACGATTTGCCTAATAAGCCAAGTTTTCCTGAATTAATTGTTTTTCGACTACCTAACCTACCTAACCTAACCTAACCTAACTTTTTCGGCTACCTAACCTAACCTAACCTATAAAGATAGGTTAGGTTAGGTTAGGTAGGGTTGGTTAGGTTTGGTCATATATCTACGTTAATTTTAACTTCAATTAATAAAAATTGACCTCATACATAACGAAATGGGTAGCTTTATCATTTCAAAAGAAAAAAATTTGAGAAAATATATTAATTCAGGAAAACTTGGCTTATTAGGCAAATCGGGCCTTGCATAGTAGACTGAAAAGTGCATTCTGGCTACTAGGTACGACATATATATATATATATATATATATATATATATATATATATATAAATATATATATATATGTCGTACCTAGTAGCCAGAACTCACTTCTCGGCCTACTATGCAAGGCCCGATTTGCCTAATAAGCCAAGTTTTCATGAATTAATTGTTTTTCGAGAACCTAACCTACCTAACCTAACCTAACCTAACTTTTTCGGCTACCTAACCTAACCTAACCTATAAAGATAGGTTAGGTTAGGTTAGGTAGGGTTGGTTAGGTTCGGTCATATATCTACATTAATTTTAACTCCAATAAAAAAATATTGACCTCATACATAATGAAATGGTTAGTTTTATCATTTCATAAGAAAAAAATAAAGAAAATATATTATTTCAGGAAAACTTGGCTTATTAGGCAAATCGGGCCTTGCATAGTAGGCTGAGAGGTGCGTTCTGGCTACTAGGTACGACATATATATATATATATATATATATATATATATATATATATATATATATATATATATATATATATATATATATATATATATATAACGTTTGGACACGTAGTTGAAACTCTTCAACAAAGAGGAAAATCTATTTCTGGCAGTGACGAGGTAGCAAATGTGTTGGCTCTCAGTGGGTGGTGGTGGTGGGCAGTGTTGGCTCTCAGTGGGTGGTGGTGGTGGTGGGCAGTATTGGCTCTCAGTGGGTGGTGGTGGTGGTGGTAGTGTTGGCTCTCAGTGGGTGGTGGTGGTGGTGGGCAGTGTTGGCTCTCAGTGGGTGGTGGTGGTGGTGGTAGTGTTGGCTCTCAGTGGGTGGTGGTGGTGGACAGTGTTGGCTCTCAGTGGGTGGTGGTGGTGGACAGTGTTGGCTCTCAGTGGGTGGTGGTGGACAGTATTGGCTCTCAGTGGGTGGTGGTGGTGGACAGTGTTGGCTCTCAGTGGGTGGTGGTGGTGGTGGACAGTATTGCCTCTCAGTGGGTGGTGGTGGTGGACAGTGTTGGCTCTCAGTGGGTGGAGGTGGTGGTGGACAGTATTGCCTCTCAGTGGGTGGTGGTGGTGGACAGTGTTGGCTCTCAGTGGGTGGTGGTGGTGGTGGACAGTATTGCCTCTCAGTGGGTGGTGGTGGTGGACAGTGTTGGCTCTCAGTGGGTGGAGGTGGTGGGCAGTGTTGGCTCTCAGTGGGTGGAGGTGGTGGGCAGTATTGGCTCTCAGTGGGTGGTGGTGGTGGACAGTGTTGGCTCTCAGTGGGTGGTGGTGGTGGACAGTGTTGGCTCTCAGTGGGTGGAGGTGGTGGGCAGTATTGGCTCTCAGTGGGTCCGCTTAAAGACCCTCTGTGGCACAATCTCTGCCCTGTATGCTGTTTACAGTAAATTCCTGCCAGAGGTAGACACAGAGGGCTCGTTGTTTACCCAATTTCTTTTTACAATGTCGAGGCTCAATTCCTGGGCCCCGTCTTTCCATCTGTCGGTCTTCTAATACAATGATTCTCAATTCTCATTTTTTAACAATTTCCTCTTCAACTTAATTCTACTTGGTGACTGCTGCTCTATAAATTAAGGAGTGTTTCATCACATATCTATGGCTCACCTCATACCTGTTGCCTAACTATTCGATTTAACTATTTACTGCTGCTAGGTGAACAGACGTATTAGGTGAAAGGAAATGTGCCCAGCCATCTATGTCCCCCCCGGGAATAGATCGAGGGATCCAGGATTGTGAGCCGAGACCGGCTTTATAAAATAACGGAGTTGATTTATGGAATAAAATACCGGGTAACGGAAAACATTTGGGATCCCTGGATTGTTTTGGTCAGCTGTTCGCCCCACTCTCCCTTACACCGTCCCCAGGAGCGCTATCTTGAGGTTATCTTGAGATGATTTCGGGGCTTTAGTGTCCCCGCGGCCCGGTCCTCGACCAGGCCTCCACCCCCAGGAAGCAGCCCGTGACAGCTGACTAACACCCAGGTACCTATTTTACTGCTAGGTAACAGGGGGCATCAGGGTGAAAGAAACTCTGCCCATTGTTTCTCGCCGGCGCCTGGGATCGAACCCAGGACCACAGGATCACAAGTACGACCAGCTACTTTGGTAAACGTTTCTGTTCCCGCGTTCCGGTGTGTTATTGAGCGTTCCGGTGTGTTATTGAGCGTTCCGGTGTGTTATTGAGCGTTCCGGTGTGTTACTGAGCGTTCCGGTGTGTTATTGAGCGTTTCGGTGCGTTATTGAGCGTTCCGGTGTGTTACTGAGCGTTCCGGTGTGTTATTGAGCGTTGCGGTGTGTTATTGAGCGTTCCGGTGTGTTATTGAGCGTTCCGGTGTGTTACTGAGCGTTCCGGTGTGTTACTGAGCGTTCCGGTGTGTTACTGAGCGTTCCGGTGTGTTATTGAGCGTTTCGGTGCGTTATTGAGCGTTCCGGTGTGTTATTGAGCGTTCCGGTGTGTTATTGAGCGTTCCGGTGTGTTACTGAGCGTTTCGGTGTGTTATTGAGCGTTCCGGTGCATTACTGAGCGTTCCGGTGTGTTACTGAGCATTCCGGTGTGTTATTGAGCGTTCCGGTGTGTTATTGAGCGTTCCGGTGTGTTACTGAGCGTTCTGGTGTGTTACTGAGCGTTCCGGTGTGTTATTGAGCGTTCCGGTGCATTATTGAGCGTTCCGGTGTGTTATTGAGCGTTCCGGTGTGTTACTGAGCGTTGCGGTGTGTTACTGAGCGTTCTGGTGTGTTACTGAGCGTTGCGGTGTGTTACTGAGCGTTCCGGTGTGTTATTGAGCGTTCCGGTGTGTTATTGAGCGTTCCGATGTGTTATTGAGCGTTCCGGTGTGTTATTGAGCGTTCCGGTGTGTTACTGAGCGTTCCGGTGTATTACTGAGCGTTCCGGTGTGTTATTGAGCGTTCCGGTGTGTTACTGAGCGTTCCGGTGTGTTACTGAGCGTTCCGGTGTGTTATTGAGCGTTCCGGTGTGTTACTGAGCGTTCCGGTGTGTTATTGAGCGTTCCGGTGTCCCATCTGTCTCTCTCACCTCTCACACCATCTGTCTCTCTCTCACCTCTCACACCATCTTTCTCTCTCACCTCTCACACCATCTGTCTCTCTCACCACCCACACCATCTGTCTCTCTCACCTCTCACACCATCTGTCTCTCTCTCACCTCTCACACCATCTGTCTCTCTCACCTCTCACACCATCTGTCTCTCTCACCACCCACACCATCTGTCTCTCTCACCTCTTACACTATCTGTCTCTCTCATCTCTCACACCATCTGTCTCTCTCACCACCCACACCATCTGTCTCTCTCACCTCTCACACTATCTGTCTCTCTCATCTCTCACACCATCTGTCTCTCTCACCACCCACACCATCTGTCTCTCTCACCTCTCACACTATCTGTCTCTCTCACCTCTCACACCATCTGTGACTCTCACCACCCACACCATCTGTCTCTCTCACCTCTCGCACCATCTGTGACTCTCATCTCTCACGCCATCTGTCTCTCTCACCTCTCACACCATCTGTGACTCTCATCACCCACACCATCTGTCTCTCTCACCTCTCGCACCATCTGTGACTCTCATCTCTCACGCCATCTGTCTCTCTCACCTCTCACACCATCTGTCTCTCTCACCTCTCGCACCATCTGTGTCTCTCACCTCTCACACCATCTGTCTCTCTCACCACCCAAACAGACGGTTCCCTGACTAAGTCACCTACTTTATGCTCTATTTTTCATCATTAGAGAAAAGTTAGTGATTCAGCCCTGAAACACACTTCCCTCCTCCCTCCCCCGCCCCCGCCTCTCCGTTCCTTCCTTCAGTAGAGC